GAAGAAGGTAAACATGATGACGAAGATGAAGGAGATAACGATGACGCAGACGTATCCGTTGGTCGGAATGATCCTACGCAACGGTATCTCGATATGCTGCTATCGAGGGAGAATAAACAATTGGATACCGCCTATGGTGTGCGTAAACTCGCCAAGAACGAATTGATGATAGGCGATTCGCCCATCAGCTTTGAGAGTGATCGAATCCATGTAGGTGATAGGACTTACTTGAAAAATGCGGGTTTGATCGAACTCTTATTCAGGAAGGTACCTGACGAGAGTAGTATAACCCAGGATGACATGGACAATTACAAAAACATTATTTTAACGACGAATTCACATAGAAAGTACTATAAACCTGATGGTGAAATTCGTAAGAGCAAGAGTTTCAAATTTAATAACGTTATTGCAAAACTGATCGAACAGTCCTCTGTAACGGGCAAAGGTATAGTACCGCGGTACATGATCGCTGCCAAGGACGAACGAACGGATTACGTGTACTGGGACGATCCCAACGAATCGGTAGACCGGCTTCGTCTGCTCCTTGCGTCTCGGGAAGCTGGTAACCCCAGTCACTCCAACGAAATTGTGTCGATTATCGAAGAATTGCGCGAGGCGGGTATCATTTATTAATTCGATAAAACGATCGCGATCGCCACTTTGAATATGAGTGTCTACATGTTTGGACGTCAGTTGGGTAGCAGGACCGCAGTTACGAGTAGCCGTGGTCTCCCTGGCGCTAGATTCAAATTCACTGCTGCTGGGCACTACGACATTGATAACAAGAAGCTCTGTAACGTCGCCAATCCCGAGGAGCAAAACGATGCTGTGACCTTGAATCTGATGAAAACTGTAGTGAAGCAGGAGCTGAATACCGTGTTTCACGTGACTGCCGGAATGCGCAATGATATCGATAACAACAACTTGATGATTCAATCTCTCGATTCTACCACGAAGGATGCGCTGAAACGTCTGCAAGCTGATATCGAGCCAGGACAAGAATTGGCGATTCGCAACTCTCTGATCATTTCTCAGCTGGACGCCAAACTGAGTGCGCTGGAGAATGGATGGAAAAAAGTCAGCGGTGACCAGGACAAGAATTGGGGATTCGCAACTCTCTGATCATTTCTCAGCTGTACGCCAGACTGAGTGCCCTGGAGAATGGATGGAAAAAAGTTAGCGGTGGTGAAGGAACTGCATAGACCTGCCAGTAGAAATTACCAGCGCCGGCACGTTGACGTCCGTGGATTGGACGAGACTTGGCAAGCGGATCTCCTTGAAATGTCAGCGTACGCCAGAGAGAACCGCGGATACAAGTATCTGGTCACCGTCATCGACATATTTTCAAAGTTTGCTTGGGCCGTGCCGATCAA